AAGTCATGTATTTAAGTAAAGAACCAGTAGTGGAACCTAAGTCTTCTATCTTCCAATCAAGTCTTAATTTTCCTTTTCTTCATCTGCTCTTTTTTTGCCTGGGGTTTATATATATTGATAAAACAAAAAAAAACACAACAGAATGTTACTGTGATCCACAACCACATTTTCTTAGTTTCCCTTAATATCAAGTTACATCAGATCGCATAATTTCCTTAAATTAGGAGTGAAATCACATTTCACATTAATTTCAAGGGATTATTTTTCATTAGTCAGCCTCATGCAACTAGCCAATTTGAATGTCTTAGAACTTATTAGAGGAAAAAATAAGGATTTCATAAATCAAATGGATAATTTTAAATTATCAATTGACTTCTTTCATAAAGAATGCTTCTTAGTAATTGTAAAACAATATAAACTTGAAAAATACTATTCTTGTAGTCAGTTATGACTGGGTGCTTACGTGCTAACTACAATTGTATTTTCTGTCCTTATAGCTTAATTTGAAAATGGCGATTTCATTATTTTTGTTCCCAAAGTAATTTTTAGGTCACTCTTTTGGGTGCTGTTCATGTTGTTGACATTTTGAGATAGATTTAAAAACAATCTGTTCAGAATTGTTAGATATTATAGGAAGAAAAAGTATCCTACGAATTTATAAGGGAGATCTCATACAAGGCAGAAAAAGTGTTATTGTTTCAAAAAAATTTTAGTTGACTTTATCTTTATTATTAATCATTTTTTGGAGAACAGGATGGTGCAGTGGGAAAACCCCACAAATCAAACCATAGCTTTGGAGCCAGATAGACTTACTTTGCATAACCATGGTGGAATGAATATCTTGGGATCTTTGATAAGCTGCTTGATATCCTCTCATTTCCCTCATATGGGAAATAATACCTCTCTCCCAAGATAATTTTAAGTGTTAAGTGAACAAATGTATGTAAAGCATGCCTCACACAAATTATATGTCAATAAATGTTTACATATTTTCCCCCAAAAGAAGACATACTGTGATTCTCATTTAAGCTTCCCCAGTAATATATTTATGTGGGGAATAAAGACTTGAGGGAGAGGTGTAATTTTAAAAATGTAGCTCAAAAGCACCTTTTCTTATAAATCCGAAAGTAATTTTTCTGTTCCCTCTTCTCACACACACACTCTACATGTTAAATCTTTCAATGTATGTGGAACCAGTTTGTATAAATTTTTATTGGTATCACTTAGCAATTATTACAAACAGTGAGAGATGTGAACCCTTTTGAGTCTACCATTTCTCAGGAGTTAGTGGTAGGTAAATCCATGCACATACATTTTAAAGCCAATCTACCCACATCTTGGGGTCCAATCTCTGTTGTTTTTTTCTTTATTAAAGCAGTGAAGTATCAGTTGTTTCAATATTGTAACTAATCAAGCAACACTGGAAATTAAGTCGCAAAGCAGTGCACCTTTAGCAGATATTAAGACATTCCACGAGTCATAATAATCTATTTTCAACAATTTTATAGTCAATCTACTTCTTCAGCAACCACCTGGGAAGTATCTGGAGACAACTTGATGGCTAAGTGCATCGATCTTGTAGAAGATATTTCACAGTTTGACCCCCTGAGACAGTCTGGTGAAGGACAGAGAAAATGTAACAAATAAATAGGTTAAGCTGGAAAGTAATCTAAGTGTTGCACTGTGCTGGCCTCATGTAAGAGCTGTAGTTGTTCCTTGTTTCTTTACCCCAATGACTCTGATGAGAGTGTGCTCATCAAGATTGTTACAGAAGAACAAAGCAAAGTACAAACTATATCATGAGATCTTTCCAAGTGGCGATTTACAGAGGGTGTGTTTGTATCCTATCCCTATCGTATATACTAGTAGATGAAGCAAACCGTTAGTTCACCTGTACAGTTTAGTCTCCAAAAATGCCCCTCCCAACCTCCTGCCTCCCGCCCCCGTCCCCGCAGCATCTTCTTCTGTTGGTTTGATGGTTGGAGTCTGGAACGCAGGAAGCTCTCCTTGGAATGAATAACAAACAGCAAGTGCCGGCCCCTTCCCCAGCGCCGTCTTACACCAACTTGACGCAGGATTTTAGGACATAAAGGCGCATTCGCGGCGGTTCTCATCTTCCCCTCCAGTCACTACCCCGGTGGGTGGCGCTGGCTCCGAACGTCCAGTGAATCCGTGTTTGCAGGTGACTTGCAAACAGAGGACAAAATCTCGCACAACAAGTAAGGCGCAATGATCCCACTGGCACACATCATCCTCCGGTTCTGGGTCTCGGCGTCTTCCCTGGGAGCCTCAGGTGCCCAAAGCGCGAAGTGAGGGCTGGCGCGGGGCTCCCTCCAGGTCAGTGCGGCCACCACCTCACCTACCATCCCCCCGAGGCCGATCCCGCTGCCTCCCACTCTGCCCCCATCTCCAGGGCCTTCCAGGACTCCATGGTTGCACTTTTCCTCCAGGAAACGACAGCTGGGAACGAAACATCGCGCTCCAAAATCTCGCTGAAAACCTCTGGCCCCACCTCTCTGCCTTGGGCTACGGTTGAGGGTCCAGGGTGGGATCCGGAAAAGTACGTTGCAGCCTCCATTGGACTAGGTCGGCGATGGGGAGTTGGGGAGAAGAGAAAAGTCGTTGTGGCAGCGGGTGCGCCCGCCCTCAGTCTCCCGCGGTGGCCCGCAGGTAGCGGACGATGTCCAGGTGCCCAGACTCCTCGGCCAGGTCGGCGGGCAGGCGGCCCCAGGCGTCGCGCACGGCCAGCCGCGCCCCGGCTCGGTGCAGCGCCGCCAGCGTGTCCAGGAAGCCCTCCCGGGCCGCGTCGTGCACCGGCCGCGTGAGGGTGGCGGGGTCCGCGCAGTTGGGGTCCGCGCCGTGGGCCAGCAGCAGCTCGGCCACACGGGTGCTGCCCATCATCATGACCTGCGGGGCAGAGCAGAATGAAGGTCAGGGAAAGAGGGAAGCGAGAGGCAGGCCCGGGCAGGGACAGGCAGGACCACTTCAAACAAAGGAAGCATCTACTTCATGCACAGGTGCTGCTTACCAGCCCCAGGAATCTGGTTAAGTTTCATTTGCTGAGCAGTATTTCCTCCTCTCCCAGTCCCCCCACCCGTTCCAGGTATACTCTTTACTGAGGTTCAGTTTATTTTTCCAAATATGCAAGAAAGAGCTGATGATAATGTGCTTATCTTCATTGTGAGAAAGAAGAAAAAAGCGGACTTCCATTTAAATATGGCAATCTATTTTGTTAGGTGACTTATAGGTAGAGTTAAGTTTAAGGGCCATTAAAATCTTAAATTATTTCTCTTGTTCTGCCCTCTCTCCCCAGACATAATGTGTCTAAAAATCGTTATTAGGTAGTCAGCTGATGCTGTATCTTAGAAGTTAGAGTAATGCTTTAGGGGAGAACATGAGAAACAACTAAATTTAAAATAAGGTTTACTTTGTTTAATTCTCACAGTAAATCCCCAGTGGAAGGCCTTTGCTTTTTAGTCACATACATCTGTGCTTATAAATGTAATATAGTCCTAAAATTTGAGCCAAAATTGGAGGTATAGGGGAAAAAGTAAAGAAAGACACACATTGTTTATAAAATAATGAAAACCAATTATTTGTTGTTAATAAATGGTTCCCCATTTTAAATATTTAAATTAATGTTATAGAGTAGGCCCAAAGTTTAGAGGGTGGTAGACTTAATGTAACATGTAATTTAATACTATATTTACTTTGTATAGGATTTTATAATATTAAATAGTAAATGTTTTGCTATATGAAAAGAACTTGGATGTCAGTAGTTGAATCAGAACAATGCATAACTTAGAAAAAGGATGTCTGGAGCAGTAATCCTATAGCACCCATTTGTAAAAATATACATTATGCAAACATCTACTTCTTTAACAATAAAATAATTTTTGACAACCAAATATCCAAAATGGAATTATTTGTTCTTGTGACTTTGTGTTTTAAAATGTACTATGTAACTGAAAGATAGTATACTAATTTTTCTGTTTTGTTTCATGAATATTAGAAGCATCCAATTCCTTGCTTAAAAACCAAGATAGGTTATCATTCTTACTAGTGATATAAAGGTTGTTTCACATATAGAGAGGAGGAAGGGGGCAAGTGGTTCTTAATATCCCAGAAAATGGTGAATTAAAATTATAAAACATATTTATACAATTATTAGTATAATTTGAAGTCTTTAACAACCAACTGTACCATATTTTTGCTACTTTAAATCATCCCTCATTTCTTGTAACACTTTTCTATGAATTCTAAAGGAATTAATATATATTTTCTTTAAAATCTACTCTATTAGCAAGATCCATTGATAAAAGCTTGGTTCTGTAAGGTACTAATTAAAGTGGAAATAATAAAATGTTGAATAAATGTATTTCAACAATGAAGTGGCTAATTATTTATGAAGTCTCTTTATTTTAAAAAGTACCTAACAGTTGCTGCCAGGAATGCTTTTGTAATCCAAGCATTCAGTATGGCAATTAAGCAGTAAAAATCCATAGAACCATTTTTTCTTATGTAATGCTCAAGAGATAATGCTAACATTAAAAAAAGAGTACGTATTGTGATTTAGGAACCCTGTCTTGTTCCTTTGTTTAGAAAAAGAATGCAAAGAACTTCATATTGCAGCTTGAAACTTCATAGTGAGTTTTTTCCACCCATGCACTCTGATTTTGTTTGATTCTTTAAATCCAATACAGAATGTGTAAGTCGTAATTTATCTCTGACCCCGAGACGGGAGAGGATATACTGATATTTCCCCCATTACTAAAAAGAACAAATTTATGCAGTGGGGTTTTTCTTTCTTTTTCTTTTCTTTTCTTTTCTTTCTTTTTTTTTAAAAAGAATTTTTGGTGGGTGAACACCTGCTTTCCATCTGGGCTCCACACCTCCTGCTAGAGAGAAACAGTGGAGACCCAGATCCCAGAGGCGCCCCGGGGAGGCCGCGCCCCCGCGTTCGAGCGCCCCCTGCCGACGAGGCCCGGGGCCCCAGGTACCTGGAGCGGACGCCTCCCGAAGCCGTTGACTCCGTTGGGATCGGCGCCCGCCTGCAGGAGCTGCCGCACAGCCTCCACCTGCCCCCGCGCCGCGGCGCTGGCCAGACCCGTGTCGCTGCTGCTGCCGCCTCCGAGCTTGACCTCCTCTTCTTCCCACATGTCGCAGGCGCCAGGCAAAATCGGGAGGGTCCGCTGCTGGCCCCTGAGCTTCCCCACGCTCCTCGCTCGGTCCCCGCGCTGCCCGGGAGCGCTCTCTCCTCGGGAGAGCCTCGCTGGCTTGTTGTCCCCTTTCGCAGCTCTTTGTGACTTGGCGGCTCGTGCAAAGGCCAAATGTCGTCAAGTCGGGCTTTCCTGGGCGAACGCGAATGAGCGGACGCGCCCAGCTCGCTCCCAGGAAAGGCGCCTGGTGCACGGGCTGCGGCTGCACGGGCTGCGGCTGCACGGGCAGGAGGAAGCTTCGAAGTCCCAATCGCACGGTGAGCTTCTCGCCGAGTGCTTTGCCAGCGGGGAGTGGAGCCGTTTGGTCCAGCGGGGCGGGGCGGGGCGGGGCGTCGGCTCTGCCCACCCACTTCAGCTCCGCCCGCAACCCGCCCGGCCGGCACGGCTACTGTGGCTTCCTGGCCGCGAGGCGGGGCTAGCAGAGCTGCTGAGGACACGGTAGGGGCGGGGAAGGGGGAGTTGACGAGGTAGGGGCGGGGATGGGGGCGTGGAGCTAGCCCAGACGGTGCTGGGACGCATGCGCCAGACGCATGGAGCTCGGAGGCCCAGGCCTGGCTCGCCCAGAGTCCAGCAAAGTCTTGGCGGTGGAATCAATGTACTCAGCCCCTCCCTCCAGCAGGCGGAGCAGAGTATTTCTATTCCTCCAGCCCCAGGTCCACTGGCTGGTTTCTCGCTGGAGATGTTAGTTGCTCTCCGCAGAATCAATGACAGAAAGACACTTAAAATAATTCTGTGTTAAGATGTCTGAAAGTGACAGCTCTGCACCGGTCGTGCAGGTTATATTCACCCCCGGGCAGTACTTGAACTTCACTAGCTTCACATCAACCCTAGCAATTTTCTTTTGGGTGTGTCTTTTATTTGAATCAGTATAAGAGAGAACCCCCGAGAATCCTGTTTTGAATGTACTTTTTTACTATTTTTCATCTTTGAGTTATGGTTACACCCCTTTAAAACAAAAACAAAACACGACTTTTAGATTGAGGCGTCTAAAAATATAAATATGTATTTAAGAATTTGAGATCCCACTCTCATGATATTTGGACGGTTTATTTTTGTTTGCACCCTTACCTATTAAAACTCAGCAAGTATTTAATTTTTACTTTTCATGAGTAATAAAGGAAATTTATACAGCAATAATGAAGCACAATAAAACAGGGGTGTGGTGCTGGCCTGTCATTAAACAGGTTGAACCTGTCATTAAATCCTCTTCTGAAGAATTAAAGGCCAAGTGCTTTTCTTCTTAATCTTCCTAGCCGAGTTTGCATTAATGCATTGCTTCAAAGATTTAACAAGTTATAGCTGATGCTTGATTGAAATAGGAAGGAAATCACAAGTTATGTGTCTGCTGCCTAAAAACTACAGGAGAGTGGGTCTCTCCTAACACTGAATCTTCTTTATTTACATCATTTTTGGTTCAGAGTGCCAAGGAGGAGAACTCTTAAAGGGAGGGCAATGGTTTGCTTACTTACAAAGGAGACTCCATACGTTTCTCCTGGTATGCCTTCGCTGGGACTCCCCTCCCCTCAGGCCTGTAGAATGAGGAAGAGCTCTTTAAAGAAAGAAAGGCCTCTGGAAGTGATAGTTTGGGCTGAAGATACACTGACTTTCAAGAGAGTGGAAATTCACCTGGCTGGGGAAGAGAAAGAGGCAGTATTAATAACAATCATTTCCCTCTCACTCTACCCTCATATTTTAGGTTTCAGTTTCTTAGTTCCTCTACCTTTTCACCTTATTGAGCCTCTACTCCTATCTGGAAAGAGAAATTATTCCTTTTGTTTGTTGATGATGGCTCTATGCCTTCATCTGACCTTTGGGTGAGACAACCCAGTGAGTTGTTTTTGTTTAGTCTTTGGGGCCTGTATCTATGCACTGTATTGGGAATTACAGGTATGTAAGTGGAATTGGAGGAAGAGGAAGAAAGATGGACAGTGAGAAGCCAGAGTCTTTGAAAGGAATGACATTAGTTCTTTGCTAGTCACTCTCAGGGGCTGAGTCACTAGACTGATATAGGTGGATGTGGTGGCAAATGAATTCAGTCCAGGATATCCTTATCAGAATAGCCTAGTTACTCTAAAATTTAGTGCACAGCCAAATGTCACAAGGCAGGCTGTCTTTTATTTATTTATTTATTTTTAATATTTTTAATATAATATTTTTAATATACACATACACAATATTATTGATTTGGGAGGAAGGGAGAGAGACAGACACATCAATGATGAGAATTATTGATCGGCTGCCTCCTGCACGCCCCTTACTGGGAATCAAGCCCACAACCCCAGCATTTGCCCTGACTGGGAATTGAACCTGTGATCTCCTGGTTCATAGGTCAATGCTCAACCACTGAGCCACACCAGCCAGATTGCAGGTTGCCTTTTAAAGGCATGTTGTTAGGGGAGGCAGAGGAGGGTGAAAGTGGGCAAAGCAGTGCGAGGCAATGGGGACTCCTGCAATAATGTCAACATTGAAACATTTAAATGAAATAAAAATAAAGATGTGTTGTTGGGAACTTTTTTCTAATGGATCCAGTAATTAAATTTAGTTCAACAAAACTTAGTCCAGGAATTCACAGTTGAGTAAGATTTAGGTCCTAGCTTTTAATTAACTTCCCCAATGGTTCAGAGAACTAATAGAGAGTTTCAATTTAATATGATAACTTTACTGAGACTTGTATTTACAGGGTATTTGGGGAATGAGGAAGAAGGGAACTTAACTCAATATCCAGGTGCAGCTGAGAAGAGTCTTTAAAGAATGCATTAGAAATTAACTATTTCCTGTGTTCTCATCTTGGATTTCTTTGAAACTTAACAAAAAGATTAGGAAAAGATAGCCTGAGTCAATTTCTTCTTCTTCTTCTTCTCCTTCTTCTTCTTCTTCTTCTTCTTCTTCTTCTTCTTCTTCTTCTTCTTCTTCTTCTTCTTCTTCTTCTTCTTCTTCTTCTTCTTCTATCCTTACCTGATGATATTTTTTCCATTGTTTCCCCCATCATTTTATTTTTTAATACATATTTTTATTGTTGGTAGTATTACAAATATCTTCCACCTCCTCTCTTTTCTCCACACTCTTCCCAGCACTCCCCCCCCCCCCCCCGGAACCTGAGTCCATGGGCTATGCATATAAGTATATAAGTTCTTTGGTTTATCTTTTCTTGTTCCTTCAACCCCACATTGAGGTATGGAACAAACTGGCATACCTCAATTGATTTTTAAAAATAATTATATATATATTCACACATACACACACACACACACACACGCATATACATATGTGTCCTTATTCCCTCATACCTCAATTAATTTTTAGAGAGAATGGAAGGTATGAAGAAGTTTACGGGGGGGGGGGGGAGAGAAATATTGATGTGAGAGAGACACACCAATTGGTTGCCTTCTGCATGGGCCCTGACCAGAGCTGGGGATTGAACCTGCAACCCAGGTACAATGCCCTTGACCAGGAATTGAATCTGTGATCCTTCAGTGCATGGCCCAATGCTCTAACCACTTAGAAATACCAGCCATGCCACTTGAGCCAATTTTTGAGCCACTTTCTTAGGTGGTAGGCATTGTCAGTGTCTGAAAAATAAAAATTTGGGGTGATGAGATGGAAGATACTTTTTTGTTTGGTTTGGTTGGAAGGAACATAGATAAAAACTGGCAAGACAGGTGAAAAGCCAGTGGGTAGAATGACTGAGACTCTATCATGAGACAGATATGTGAGCTTCGCTAAGCAAGTTCACTGGCAAAGAACTTTGGGCAGGCGAAGTTTTGCCAGGGGTATGCGCGATTGCTAGCACCACGGACAGCGCTTTCCTGCGAAGAAGATTGTCTGGGTGGTCCTAATACTCTCCAGCATGAGGATTCCTGAGGAAACTTAAAACTTGATTTTCCAAAGCCCTTTCTCCCCTGAAATTAAAAGAGAATCACATGGAAGCCAAAGTGCTCACTCAACATGGTGTCCAAATATTATTGGATTACCTAATATTATATATGTAAAGAATGTTAAATACTCTCTATATTTAAAAAAAGAGAGGAGGCATTTTACTTACTGTTTCAAGTGCTTGACAAGTATTATTTCAGTTAATCCTCATAAAACCCTTATGCAACATGCAGTTATATCTCAATTTTACAGACAAGACAAAAGTATCAGAGAAGCTAAGTAACTTGCATACTAGCTAATAATGGAGGTAGCATTTAATATGTGTGGCTTCAGAGCATCTACCCTTTTCATTATATTGTTTTAGCAGCTGTCATGGTAGGCTTAACTGGAAAAAAAAAGTGCAGTAAACTGACTTTTAATTATTTCCTGTTCTATACTCTATTTTCCAGATGGCTTATCTCCCAGCATATCCTTCATATACTTCAAAGATGACATTTTACATGCAATACAATAGCACATTTGTCTTGGGCAATAGAGTAAGATAATGAAACATTTTACCTCTTCCCTAAACCCAGCTGTCTCTGGGATGAAATACAACCCATAACACTTTGAACACGTTTAAGAGATGGGATAGATGGGAACATAGTGGGCAGTTGAAACTTAGAATTGTCACAACTATACCTTTTAATAGGGTGGATGATTTATAAGTGAGAAGAGACAGAAAGTAAATTAGTATCAAATTTTGGATGTAAATAGAAAGGAATGAGTCGAGTCAGTTACAGTATGATAAGTAATGCAGACATCCAGTGATAATGTTTACATTCTAGTTGGTGAAACTACATATGAACTCACTGTACAAGTGTGAATAGAATCAGTTGAGTGACCAAGAGAAGTAGTGACATAACTTGAACATGCTTGGATGCCACTCAGGAAGGAGTGCACATTCCTCAGATTAATTTATACTAACAGATGTAAAAATAAAATTTTCTGGCACAAATTTTAACATAGAACATTATTTTTCAGAAATAAAATAGTGTATACTGTAGTATTTAATCCTAGGAATTAAT